TACCCTGCAGTTTATGGGCACACCTTTAGTTTCCCGTTCTTTGTCACTACAAAAAGAACTGCTTATAAGTATTTTTGTACATAAAAAGTCTCTTTTTCTCTTTGACCTCTTCAGACTAGAGATCTAGGAGTAGTATCACTGTATCCAAGGGTACACCTAGTTTAGTGACTTTTTGGACATATTTCTAAATTGCATTCCAGAATGGGTAATTGTTAGAATCATTCACAACTCAATCAATGCATCCATGTGCCTGTTTTCCTGAAGTCCCTTCAGCGTTTGTCATTTTCTTTTTTTTTTTTTTTTTTGGTCAGCTTTGCCAGTCTGTTGGTTGTGAAGTAGAAACTCGAGTTCCTTTAATTTGCATTTCTTTTATTAGGGATTTGGGGCATTTTTAACATGGCTTTTGATATCTTGGATCTCTTCCTTTTGAAAATCATCAGTTCATATCCTTTGACCATTTATCAGTTGGAGAATGGTTCTTGTTCTTATTAATTTGAATTAATTCTTTGTATATAAGAAATTCAACCTTCTAAAAGAGAAACTTGCTCCAAAGATTCCCCCCCCCAATTGTTTCCTCCTCATTTTAGCAGGTTAGTTTTGGTGTGAATTCATTCTTAAATGAATAATTGTAGCAAACATTTATGTAGTGCTTTAAGGCTTCCAAGAAGCTTTTTAATTTGATCCTCACTACAACCCTGGGGTCAAGTACTATTATTCCCATTTCACAGAAAAGGTGGAAAGAAGTAATATGACATTCAAGATCTTACAGCTAAGAAGTGTCTGAGGTCAAATTTGAATTCAGTTCTTCCTTACTCCAAGTTCAATGCTATATTCATTGTGCCGCCTCCTTGCCTAAATCACAGGATATTAGAGATCATCTAGTTTGATCCTCACAGATGAGGAAACTAGAATTATGTTAATAGCTATATTAGAAAGGCTCTCTGGTTAAAATGGAACAGCTCGTATTTCTATAGTGTTTTTTCATTTTATTTAAAAAATTTTTATTTTGGGGGCAGCTAGGTTGAGCAATGAATAGAAAACAGGCCCTAGAGTCAGGAGGACCTGAGTTCAAATGTGGCAGACACTTGACACTTACTATCTGTGTGACCCTGGGCAAATCACTTAACTCCAATTGCGTCACAAAAAAAATAAAATAAAATTTTTATTTTATTTTCAGTTTCAAATTTTCATTTTCCCTTCCTCAATTGAAAAGGCAAAAAATATATTCCCTGTTATTATAGCGTGTTTTTTATTCAATATTCTCATTTGTTTCTCACTACAAAATAAATTCATAAAAATCAACAGCATTTCTATATTAATCAACAGGTATTAAATGCCTATACTGACCACTCTGCTAGGTGGGGGAGGAGGATACAAGTACACACAGAACAAAACTTCTTACTCTGAAGGAATTTCCATTCTAATGGGGAGACAAGTACATTTATACATACATAGAGTATTATAAAGTGCATAAATACAGATAACGAGAAAGTAATTTGGGCAGGAAGGCACTAACAATTGGAGGGATCTAGGAAGGGCTTTCTGCATGAGATTGGTACCTGAGCTGTGTCTTAAAAAAGAGGAGGACTCTGGGCCTCAGAGAGGTAAGCAGGGGAATGTGATCCAGGAATGTGGGGCAGCCAGTGCAGAGGAGCAGAGGCAGGAGATGGACTGCCCTGTGTAATGAATAGAAATAAATGTGTTTTGACTGGGAGAGCAATGCCCATTTTGGCTAGAAAGACAAGTTGGGGCCAGGTTGTGTAGGGCTTTAAAAAATAAAGAGGAGTTTTTGTTGTATCCTAGAAGCATTTGGAGGCCAGTAGACTGTGTTTGAATAGATTAGTGACATGATTAGATCAGTGCTTAACATTTCTTTGGCAGCGGCATGTAGGCTGGACTGGAGCAAGAAAAGACTTGAGACAAGGCGATTCATTAGGAGACTGTTATAATATTCTAGGTAAGAGGTTAAAAGGGTATGAACTAAGGTCATAGCTGTGTGAGTGATGATTCAGATTCCAGGGATGTTGTGAAGGTTGCAGCGTCAGTGACTGATTGGATATGTGGGGTGAGGAAGAGGAGGGAGTCCAGAATAATGCTGAAGTTGCAAGTAACAAAATCAAGGACTCGATAATAGTAAGGGTAACTGTAAAGTACATGAGATATCTGGAAATCAACTATCAAAGCACTTGTAATACCTGTATCAATGCAATTACAAAACCTTTTTTAAGGAAAGAAAGAGCAACTTGAGTAACTGGAGGAGTATTTAGTTGTCATGGCTGGGTTCTACCATTTAAATAAATGAAATTAATTCACAGATTTAGTGCTGTGCCAGTCAAACTACCAAGGTGATACTTTACAAAGCTATACAAAACCATAACAAAATTCATTTGCAGGGAAAAAAAATCTAGGATATCAAGGGAAAGAATAAAGAAAGGTAGAAATGAAGGGAGGAAATACCCGTCCAGATTTCAAATGATATTATAAAACAGTCATCAAAACTATTTGATACTGATTAAACAGACAAGACAAGGAAGGATCCAAAATAATTGAATTTTAAAACTCAGGGTTCAATAAACATGAAAAGATAGATTTTGTACAGGAAAGTACTTCATGTCCATAGATAAGAATTTCTAGGAACACTGGAAAGCAGTCTGACAGAAGTTGGGTTTAGAACCATTAACTTATGCCCTATACTAAAATTCAAAATGTATACTAGAATGCTAAAGTTCTTACTGCTTATTTAAAAACAAACAAATTCAAAACCTGAAAAGAACCAGATCATTTAACAGCCCTTCACAACAGCTTGAGGGTGAATTTTTAACCCATCAGGGAATGATGGTGATTATAAAAAATAAAATAAATAATTTTAATTACACAAAACTTAAAAGCTTTTGCATGAATAAGATTAATGTGGCTAAGATAAGAAGGTATCTAGTCTGCTGGGAATCTTAATCTTTAATATCCGATCTCCAAAATATACGGAGTATCCCAAAAATCATAGTGCAGCTTCAGGCTTTCCTGTATAGAGAGTTGACAGAAATATAAAACCCAAATCCATTCCCCTACAGATAAAGCAGTCACATGTTTTACTAAACAAAAAGGTGAAGGATATTAAGTGTCTTGCTAAGATTTACTATGTGAATATTTTACATGTGAATAAAATCGCATGTAAAACTCATAATTTGCTTTAAAAAAGATGACTTTGAGTAAACTTTAACAATATTTATGTGTTCTATCAGTTCCTAGTTTTTTTCCTCTGTGTACTTACTGATTTTGTTGCTGTTATTTTCATTTTATTTTGTTTGTGAATTCATTGACTCTTAATAAGAAAGCTTCCTCTACCAGTGGAGATTGTCACCTCTGCACATTGAGAGGTTGTATGACTAGCCCAGGATCATAAAAGCCCAGGATCATAAAAGGAATGTATGTCAGAGGTGAGACTTTATGTCAGGTCTTTCTGACCAGTGGAGTCCAGTTCTAAAGGCGCGGTATGCTGTGGTGTCTCTGTTAAGTCAGTTTCCCGCAGTATGCTCCAAAGGTATAGCATGTAGAGTTTGTATTGGAATCCAGAATACAGCAATAAGACACTTGATTTGAGAACGTTGTTCTTTGGTTATGCATCTGGTATTCTCTGCTCTTCAGAGCATCCCTGTTAAAAACAAGAAGCAAAACAACCAAAAAACTAAACATAGTCAAGTTTAATTTATAACAGTGTAATTCAACCTGGTTTCATTTGTCTGTGGAGCTCAAGGTGTATTTGGAAGAGTTGGTCCATTTAAGAATAATACCTATTGTTTTACTTTCTCAGCCTCTTGTTTGCTGCGTATTTTTGTGTTTTGTCACTCTAAACACAAATAGTTAACACTTCATAGGTTGACAGTTACGGCACATTATGGCACAGGGGTTCTGTGAAGTCCACTGATGTTTGGGAAGGCATATGTGGCTCCTAAAAGAGTGAAATTTGCAAAAACTAAATCTTACCTTCCCAAACACTCATGTAGCAAATATTAGCAGGGATATCGCCTTTGGAGTGAATAATAGGGACAAAGACTTTCCTATCTTCCCTTGAGTTCTTCTAATAGCTCTGGCTTCTTTATGTGGCTTATAAGTAACCTGGCAACACTCTTACTTTTTCGGGTTCATCGTGCTTATGTAGCCCAGTTAATAGTTTGAAGGAAATCAGAATTTTTGTCTCTGGTATCCCCTTTTGTTGTAGCGAAAAGAGAAGCCGCTTTCATTAATATTCCCAAAGTGGAGGGAATAGGTAGTATGGCGAAGTGGGTAGAAAGCGGACCTTGAAGCCAAGAGGATGTGGGTTCAAGTGGAGCCTCCTAACTGTGCTAGACAGGGCAAAGGGTGTTATCCCTATTTAACACTGAGGAACCTGAGCCTAAGGTTAAGTGGCTTTCCCAAGGACATGGCTTGTTTACTAAGGCCGGGGTTAGGTAAATCCTTCAGATGCCTGCTCCCATGTACCTTCCACTCCTTCACACTGTTACTCATTCTCTTGGAAGAAAACATTATTTGCTGATGGAGCATCAGGTGAAGGCATGTGGACATGTAATGTCCACTGAGATTAATCGGCCTTGCAGATTAATGATCAAGACCATGAAGATCACCAAGGTACCAAATTTAGGCATGCCTCTTTGAGTAAAGAAGAGTCTACGTCTGAGCTCAGAGTTTTTCCCTAAAGATTTGTAAACCTCTTTTGGCTACTTTTAATGAGAAACAAAATCCGTTTTCTTAAATTTAAAAAAAAATGCCTGTATTAAAAAACAGATTAAGTGCTTGTGGTGTTGCCTTCTTTTTTCAGATTCTTCTGAAATTGAAACATAGTAGACACAATAAAAATGATTATTTTTTCCCTCTTATTTCTCTTGTTGTTTCTTCTTAGAATCTATTAAATTAGTGGCTAGTGACTCTTTTTGGTTGCTAATCTTTAAATTTATAATCCATTAGGTGATTTTTGTAACTAATATGAGTGGGGTTTTGTTTTCTAGATTCTTTTATTAAAGATGATGCCGTTGATGAAGAAGAGGAGGAGGAAGATTATGATGAAGATGAAGAAGATGATTCTGAAATAAAAGAAGATAATGGGGTCCTGGTCCTGAATGATGACAACTTTGACACCTTTGTGGCTGACAAAGACACTGTGTTGCTGGAATTCTATGCTCCGTGGTTAGTATACTTTAGCATTACGTGACTGGTGATATACCGTATGTCTGTTGTCCAAGGATCCACCTACCTTCTTTTGGAGGGTAACCAGATTGGCTAAAAAGCCATGAATTTTTCAGCCATAACAACTCCTGAATATCATTTCTTAAGTATCTTAGGTTGCAGTCTATGTCTCTGGAAGACTAGATCATTTCATTATAGTCAATGTTTATTTTTAATTCTGGTGGCTATAACACATTTCTTCCGTTCATTGTCCATACTTATTGACTTGAGACCTTATATTTCTTATCAGACTACCCAAGGCCTTTTGAGCCCTTTGGGGGAGAGTGAGAACATTTCTTTTTAACCAACATTTAAAAATATTTTTAATTTTGTGCCGTGCTTTTCATGGAGCTAGGTGCTGTGAATACAGAGGTGAAAACTGACATCATCCCTGCCCTCAAGGAGTTTAAAGTCTATTAGAAGTAGACACATAGACTAATCACTCTAATATAAATTAAGAGATAGCAGCTTAAAAGGCAGTGCCTAACAGGGGCACGACTGATATGTCAAAAGGAAATAAGATCCCCTCTAATTTGGAAAAGCAGGAATCGGAGAAGGCTTTGTGGAAGAACGGCCACGTAAGTTAGAACTTGGAATGGATTTTAGTAGGAGAAGATGTTGGGAAGCCCATTCTAGGATGCCTGAGAATAGGATGAGATCAGGAATCAGACCAGTTTGACTGGAGCATTGCACATATAAATGAGAAAGACATGTAAAATAAGCCTGGAAAAGAGGACTGATGATGAACCATGTATTAATGGCCTCCTGACAGAGAAGTAATAGATTTAAGATGCAGAATAAAGTAAGAAAGCTGTGAACCAGAGCACTGGAAATTGGAAAGATGAGATTATTTCTAGAGAGAAAATTAAAAGGACTAAGAAAGAGATAGGCATATGAGAAAGTCTTTAAGCATTACTATCTGTATTTTTCACATTTGTCATCTTATAACACAACAGCAGGATTTTCACACTGTAATTTACTCTGCCACTTCCCAGTTCCTAGTCATGAATGTAGTTTTTTCACACATCTAGAGCCTTTTTCCCTTTTAGTAACCTTAAAATAGGTAACTTTTCTTAGGTTTTGGGTTTTTTTTTTGAAATGTTTTCATGGCCATTTCTACATTGGGGACTAAGGATTGCTCTTGGATTTCTTTCAGTTCCATGTAAATACTGAATGTCAAGTTTTTAATTTTTCATAATTTCCATCTAGATCCCCTTATTTTGGAAACATTGCTTTTTGTCATTCATAATCCTTTTATTTTGTCTAATCCTATAAATTCTCTAATGATTTCCCCTACAGATAAAAATATTTCTCCTCTAAATAGAAATCAAGGCATGTCAAAGTTGGAAGGGACCTTAGAGGGCATCTAGTCCAGCCCATAACTGAACTGGAAGACCTTGAGGGAGGGGGCAACTTCTGAGAGTACCTCAGACCTAAATTTGTACCTCTGCAGCTTTTACTCATGGATCCTAGTTTTGCCTTCTGAAGCCAGGCAATAAAAGTGCGACCCCTTTTCCACATGACATTCCTTCAGATACTTGGAAGACACTTACATATCCTCCAACCCCATTTCAGATTTTTCTTTTCAAGGCTAAATCCCCACAGTTTCTTCATGTGACCTTCATAGGACATGATCCTGTCTAGTTACTCTCCTCTGGGTACTCTCCAGCTTATTGCCGTCCCTAAAATGTGGCACTGAATACCATCCTCTAGGTCAGTGGTATCAAACCCAAATAGAAATGGGAGCCACCAAATGAGGGCCACTTAAAACCACATATTACCATTATCTATATTCTGTTGGTTTTTTATTTATTGGGTTAAATATTTCCCAATTCCATTTTAATCTGGTTCAGCCTGCTGTGTTTGATCCCTGCTCTAGAGATCTAACCAGGATGGCGTACAGTGGAATGGTTCTTCCCTAGTCATGGATATGATCCTTTGCTTAATGCAGCCCAAGATTGTATTAGTTTTCTTAGCTATTTCACTCCAGCTCATTGATCTCACAAGCCACTAAAACATCTTTTCCCAAGGAACTACTTCCAGTTCAAAACACCTGACTTTGAAGTTGTCCCATTTAAACCACCCATGTGTACACATCTCCCTTTTTTATATTTATGAAATTGATTTCTTTTAAAAATCTGAGTAAGGGGGTAGCTAGGTGGCACAGTGGACAGAGCACCGGCCCTGAAGTCAGGAGGACCTGAGTTCAAGTCTGGCCTCAGAACCAAACACTTGACACTTACTAGCTGTGTGACCCTGGACAAGTCACTTAACCCCAATTGCCTTAAAACAGAAAAAATCTGATTAAGACTTTACATATGTCCCTATTGCATTTCATCTTAGTAGTTTTGGCTCAGGGTTCTAACTTGTCCAGATCTTTTTGGATCTCAGCTGTTATCCAGTGTGTAGCTGTCCCTTTCCCAGCTTTGTATCATCTGGATATTTGATAAGCTTGCCAACTTTTCCTTTTATCCAAGATAAAAATGTTAACAGCACAGGGCTAAAAGCATAGATCTTTAAGTTATATTTCATTGGAGGTCAGCTTTGTGGTTGACATCAAAAAAATTAATGTTTACCCTTTGCTCTATCTAAAACCAAAAAGCAAGCATCATACGCAGTGGGGATGCTCTAGAGTCTTTCCCAGTAAAAATGGTAGTAAAACAAGGATGCCACTCTTCACACTGTTATTTGATATAGTTCTGGAAATAGTAGCAATAGCAAATAAGATGAGAAAGAAATTTAAGGCATAATAAAGATAAGCGAAGATGCAATAAAACTCCCATTTGCTGATGCTATAATGGTTTATTTAGAAAATTCTAGGGAATCTGCAAAGATAGTAATTGAGACAATAGATTCAGCAGAATTTCAGGCTGCAAAATAAACCCTCAAAAATTAAGAGCATCTCTATATAATAACAAAATCCAAGAGAACCCAGTAATAGAAAGGTGAATATCATTCCAAATTCTTGGCATCTGACTAACCTAAACTCACCTTTTCTGTAAGACTTAACATAAGAAACTTTGTCAAATTCTTTTCCAAAATCTAGATAAGCTATATAGCCTGACTTGCCAGTATAGTGTAACCCTATCACAAAAGGAAATGAGATTTATTATTGATGAAGCCGCACCAGCACTTTGTGATCATAACTGCTTTTGCTTACTAAGCCTCCATTTAATGCTATATTTTAGATGAATTCAATTTTGTTATGATACATTCAACATACTTAATTGTTTTTAATATTCTTGGCCCTTTTGGAAGGGAAGAGAGTTCTGATAGAACTGGGCAAGCAGTGATATCTTGTGTAAGTTCTGTAGAAGTGAAGTTATATTGAAATACAATTATTAGAATATTTTTCCATTCAAGTTTATTGCTCTCTTCTCCCATCACAATGCAAAATCTATCCACAGACTTAAAGCTCCTGCCCCAAAGCCTTCTATAATACTTATAAGATATTGTAAGTTAGTTGTTGAGATATTACCCTTTACCAGGTCCTAAGTTCTTTGACAGGTTTTTAATCTGTAGTCCATGAACTTGTTTTTTTAAAAAATATTTTGATAATTATATTTCAATATAATTGCTTTCCTTTTTAATCTGATGTACTTGTTTTTATGCATATAAAAACTTTACTCTGATTTGGCTTCCATAGGTTTCACCAGACAGCCGCAGGAGCCCACAACCTTAAAAATGGTTAAGGACCCCTACTGCTCCCTGAGAAAAGAGGCTTTATTTTCTCTAAATTTTCTATCTCAAAATCCCTAGCACAGTGGTGTCTCCACAGCAAGGACTTATTAAATATTCTTGACTGTTCAGTCAATAAGCAGTGAAAACTGTTGGCTAGCTTAGGAACCATCTAATCCATTTTCTTCTTTATGTCTTCTTGCCTCCTCCTTGGGAAGCAGGCTACTGTGGGTCACAAGCTGTGCTTCTCCCCCTTTTTTCCTGTGTTTTTAAAAAAATAATTATTTTTAGTTTTCAGTGTTCACTTCCATAAGATTTTGAGTTTTAAATTTTCTCTGCCTTTTCTTCCCCCTCGCCCCAAGACAGCACACAGTCTAGTATAGGCTCCACTTATACATTCATATTAAACATGTTTTCCCATTAGTCATGATGTAAAGAAGAATTAGAACTGATGGGAGGAACCACGAGAAAGAAGAAAAAAAGCCAAGACAACACACAAATGGTCCGCTTCCATGTGCGTTCGGGCTCCGCAGTTCTTTCTCTGCAGGTGGACGGCATTTTCCATCTTGAGTCTTTTGGAGATGTCTTGGTTCCTTGCATTGCTGAGAAGTGCCAAGCCTATCAAAGGCATCGCACGGTGTGGCAGTTACTGTCTGCAGCATTCTGCTGGTTCTGCTCACTTCACTCAGCATCAGTCCATACAAGTCTTTCCAGGTTTTTCCTGAAATCTACCTGCTCGTCTTTTTTTCTTTTTTTTTAGGCAGTTGGGGTTAAGTGACTTGCCCAGAGTCCTCCTGATTTCAGGGCCGGTGCTTTATCCACTGCACCACCTAGCTGCCCCTTGCTCATCATTTCTTATAGCACAATAGTATTCCATTACATTCATAGACCACAACTTGTTCAGCCATTCCCCAACGGATGGGCATCCCCTCAATTTCCAATTCTTGGCCACCACAAAAAGAGCTGCTATAAATATTTTTGTGCATGTGGGTCCTTTTCCCATTTTTGTGATCTCTTTGGGATACAGACCTAGAAGTGGTATTGCTGGGTCAAAAGGTAGGCACTATTTGATAGCCCTTTGGGCATAGTTCCAAATTGTTCTCCAGAATGGTTGGATCAGTTCACAACTCCACCAACAATGCATTAGTGTTCCAATTTTCCCACATCTCCAACATTTATCATTTTCCTATTTTGTCATGTTAGCCAATCTGATAAGCGTGATGTGGTACCTCAAAGTTATTTTGATTTGCATTTCTCTAATCAATAGTGATTTAGAGCATTTTTTCATATGACTATAGGTAGCTTTAATTTCTTCCTCTGAAAACTGCCTGTTCATATCCTTTGACCATTTGTCAATCATACGTATTCTCATAAATTTGACTCAGTTCTCTATGTATTTTAGAAATGAGGCCTTTTATTAGAGATACTGGTTGTAAAAATTCCCAGTTTTCTGCTTCCCTCCTAATCTCGGTTACATTGGCTTTGTGCAACAACTTTTCAATTTAATGTAATCAAAATATCCATTTTGCGTTTCATAATGTTCTCTATCTCTTATTTGTTCATAAATTCTTCCCTTCTCCATAGATCTGATAGTAAACCATTCCTTGCTCTCCTAGTTTGCTTGTAGTATCAGTATTTATATCTAAATTACGTACCCATTTTTATTTTATCTTGGTATAGGGTGTGAGATGTTGTTCTATGCCCAGTTTCTGCCATGCTGTTTTCCAGTTTTTGTTAAATAGTAGCTTCTTATCCTAGAAGCTGGAGTCTTTGCATTTATCAAAAAGTAGATTATTGTAGTCATTAACTGTTGGTCTAACCTATTCCACTGATCCACCACTCTTTTTCTTAGCCAGTACCAAGTAGTTTTGATGATTGCTGCTTTATAATACAATTTAAGATCTGGTACAGCTAGGCCACCTTCCCTTGCATTTCTTTTCATTAGCTCCTTTGATATTCTGGACCTTTTGTTCTTCCAGATGAATTTTGTTATTGTTTCTTCTAGCTCTATAAAGTAATTTTTTGGTAGTTTGATTGGTATGGTACTGAATAGGTAAGTTAATTTAGGTAGAATTGTCATTTTTATTATTCCTGTATTTTTAAAAAACTGCTTATACAGTTAATTCTCTCTCAGGCTCACATAGAAAGATATCTGATACAACTTTGAAAATCCTTCTTGAATCAAAAAATGAGTTGAGATTCCTGACAATTACAATTATAGTACTAAAAATATTATTTTTGCATGTTTTTTTATTTGATCAGATCTTTAAGCTTAACTGTTTTTTCCTTTCTCCCCAAATCTTATCTCCCAGGTGTGGTCACTGTAAGCAGTTTGCTCCAATATATGAAAAAATAGCTAAGACCCTTCAAGAAAATGATCCTCCTATCCCTGTTGCCAAAATTGATGCAACAGCAGCATCTACCTTAGCAAGCCGGTATGATGTGGGAGGCTATCCCACCATCAAAATCCTGAAGAAGGGGCAGGCAGTAGATTACGATGGCCCAAGAACAGAAGATGGTAAGCTACTCCTTTGGTTTGCTTAGAGCCTAAGTCTGTGACCTTGCTCTTAGCTGGGTGCTGAAATATTTGGTTGAGCGCTTGAGAGAAGCTGTTTTCAGGGATCTAGAGCTGCAGCCTCCCCCTTCCCTTTTGAGGGTCATTTAGTTGACCTAGAAATACATGTTATTTTAGGAGTCTTTGTTTCTTTTTATTAATAACTCAAGTTTGTAATTCTTTAAATCAGTGTAGTCAAACCCAAATGGATCCCTACTGGCTGCATATTGTCTTAGAAAACCACAAATTAACGTGGTTTTTTTTTGTATAAAGTTGTATAAAAACACTATAATACAAATAAAAATATTGTAAAAGTTGTATAAAACACAACTTTTATTGTACCCCTCCCTTTTTTGTTTATTTTGTTAAACATTTCCCACATATTTTAATCTGGTTCAGCTTTACTTGGGAATTTTTCTGGGAAGGGTTTGACACCTGTGCTATAAAGTATACGAAATGTTTTCCTTATAACTCTCTGAAGTAGGTAGTACAGATGTACTGTTGTCCTCATTTGATGGCTGAGGCCACTGACCTAATGAGCAAGTATCCAGTTGGGACTGGAATTCAGGTGCTTGTATTCATACTTACTCTTTTTTCATCTTTTGGATTTGTGAAAATCGAAGCCTAGAAGATGAATAGTGAATGGGACCCCTCAGCCTAAGAACTGGTGGGGGCCAAAAATGTGGTATCTTCTGTCCTCGTACAAGGGAGTAGATGTGAGATCGTGTCCACTAGTACTTGTAATAATAATAGCTAGTATTTGTCGTGCTCATACATTAATTCATTTGGTCCCCATAACAACCCTGAAAAGTTAAGTGCTGTTATTCTCTTTATACAAGTTGAGCAAACAAGTTGAGTCTAATAGAGAGGTTAAGTAAGTGTTCAAAGCAGGATTTGGATTTATCTTCTGCCACCCATCTGCTCCTACTCACATCTTAAAGAATAAGAAAATTTATTCTTTGAAACAGCTCTTTGGAAGTCCAGACGATAGTATTCCTTTATGCCATATGGCATCAAACTTGGGAGGGAGCATATCAGAGGCAGAACCAGATTTCCTAGTTCTTTGGTCTGTAATGATCCATTTGAAAAACCCATATGAGAAATGTGAATAGAAAGGATTTAAGAAATGTGATTGTATGATATTTCTGAGTCTAAGGGAATATGGTTAAGTTCCTCTTGGGGCCATGTAAGCAGGTGATTTAAGGGTCATTTAGGGACAACTAACAGAACCCAAGAGACATAACCTTCTTGGCTACCGAAAGCTGTGATTGATTAAAGTAAATAAGATGTAGAAGTTAGTAATCAAATTCAAGGCTGAGGGTAGGAAAAGATAGTCAGTAGTGGTAGCAGTACAAAGCCAGAGAATTCAAGACCACACACCAAGAAGAGAGATTTGTCTCCCATCCTTTGGCCCCCTCACATAGCAGTTTTCTAAGGCAGGAATTTCTGTTATGTCTGGCCCTGTGCTTGTCATCTCCTGCTCCCATTCTTTGGTCCTTTTCAGATGGCTCCAGACACCCCTGACATAGAACCTTCTTATTCTCCTCAAAGGGATTCTTCGCTGGTGTCAAAGAAAGGAGCTGAGAAATTTGATCATTCTCATCTGGTTTTCTTTCAGATATTGTTGCTAAAGTCAAAGAGGTTTCTCAGCCCAGCTGGACCCCTCCACCTGAAGTGACCCTGGTGCTCACTAAAGATAACTTTGATGAAGTAGTAAATGATGCCAATATCATTTTGGTGGAGTTCTATGCTCCTTGGTAAGAAGAACATCACCTTGATTAATTAGTCCTGGTTTGCTGTTAAATAATTATTAAGCACCTTCACCTTGTCTGGCCCTGAGTTAGATACAGTGGTGATCAGGCTCTGAAAGAAAGTAGCTGACAGATTCATTGGGAAAAGAAGAGGCACAATAATGAGGATGAAAAAAAAATAACTGAACAAAGCACTATAAATATTGGTCAGTATTGGGGGGGAGGTATTGTAAAGGTGGTCTAGGAAGGTGGGCATCAGCTAAGTCTTAGAATAAATTTGCAGTTTGGAGTTAAATGTAATCTTTTAAAAAATATAGTAGACTCTTCTACTTTGAAAATTCTTATTGATAGTACAAATTAATATAAACCAGAGAATGTTTTAAATACCTCAGAGAATTAATACCTATTTGCATGCAAACATTTGCTACCCGACTGATTTGAGTAGTAAGTCATCTAATGCCCTCATCTAGGCAACAAGTATTACTTATTGTATGCAATTGAAACTAATGAAATTATCTTTCTTTTAAACAATATTCTATAAGTTTTTCTGCTAATTCAGCTAATCAATTTGTGACATTTTTATCATACATTAATTCTTATGCATAAAGTAACATGATAACATATAGCAGCCTTAAATATAGGTACATCAAGCATCTTCCTCTGATGAACAGTAAATTTTTTTTTTTAACCAGATCCATAATTTTATTGGAATAGGAAGATCCTGATGAGGCAGTTACCTTTGATATAGCTAGGCAGCTGTAAAAACTAATGGATAGTCTCTAGAGACTCTGTTAACCTGAGGCATAGACTAAGTTCAGTGACTTCCAGGATCACTCAAGCAATATATGACAGAGCAGAAAATTGCCTGTTCTTAATTGTAGTTGATTAAGATAAACTCAGTATCCATTATTTCCTTGGTGCATTAATCTGAATTGCTAGGTAAAGGAGTCAGGTCTTCTTTTTGGGAAAACTGCCAGAATTTCATATGTTAAAGAAATATAAATCCTTTTCCCACCTGTCTTAACTGTGCAGCACTGAATTTTTAAATAGAGACCCCATCTTGACTTTAAGGGTCACAGTCAGGATAAATCCTAGATACATAGGTGCTGTTCATCTCTGACTTTGTCTTCTTTTTTGTTCTGTGAATGGAGGATTAGTTTTCCCATGCACTGAATTGGCTTGACTTTATGAGGTCCCTTCAGAAATTCTGTGATTCTGTACATCCTTGTTGAAGTTGTTCACCTGAAAAATATGCTTCTCCTTTGATAGGTGTGGACACTGCAAGAAACTTGCTCCAGAATATGAGAAAGCTGCGAAAGAACTCAGTAAGCGTTCTCCACCCATTCCCTTGGCTAAAGTAGATGCCATTGAAGAAACCGACCTGGCCAAGAGGTTCGATGTCACTGGATACCCAACTCTAAAGATCTTCCGCAAGGGGAAGGCTTTTGATTACAACGGCCCACGAGAAAAATACGGTATTGGCCTTTTTCCTAAGACTGTACTGGGGAGGAATAGCACCAAGATTTGGGAGTTGTCAGCAGGAGAAGCTTGAGTAAAAACCTGCTTCTAAGATACACCTGCAGCAGGGATTGGCCTGCACAGAGGCCGAATCTGTCAGTCTGGAAAGAGACAGTTGATCTGTTTGAACTGAGTTACCCTTCTTAGACCTGTTCTTTGGTTCCAGGTATTGTGGACTACATGATTGAACAATCTGAACCTCCATCCAAAGAAATTCTGGCTGTGAAACAAGTCCAGGAATTCCTGAAGGATGGAAATGATGTCATTATCATTGGCATCTTCAACAGCGCTGATGACCAAGCTTATCAGCTGTATCAGGAAACTGGTAAGTTGCATTTCCATGAGTGAGAAAGTGCTCTGAGGTTTGCTGCCCTGGGGCATTTGCCCAAATTAAGTATGTTCCTCTCCCTACCCCCCCCCAACCCTGGAACTCATTTATGTAATCATTTGAGTTTTAACAAAATGCTTTCCCCACAAAAACTCTGTGAGGCAAGAAGTACAGATAGGTCTCTTAGAAAATGATCTATTCCATACCATTTCTTTTATGATGAAGTGGTTCCCAGAGATAAAGTGACTTGTCTAAGTTCAAGCAAGTACATAGTCATAGGGTAGGAATTTGAACCCAGATCATATCACTCCAGATTCATTATTTCCATTATGACAGGCCCATTCAAATCAAATCACTATCACTGTTTTTGTTGATTTAAAATACTCCAACATAAGAAGTTAATGAGAACACTAAGCACAATTTTGTCTTTCTCCCACCTCAGTTTTGCCTCCATCTTGCCCAGAATCTTCCTTGCTCTGTGACTGATACTCTGACTACAAGGCCTTCTTCAGGCCTGCTTTCCCTGTTCCCATGAATAGAACTTCTTTGTGCTCCTCCTAAATTTCTGCTCCTTCAGTACATTTCAGATGATTTAAAAAAAAACCCGTCTGAAGTAATTCACAAAGGTCTGACTAGTGTTTCTCCTCTCCTCTGTCTAAATATCCACTGCTCTTTTTGTAGTAAAGACCCAAAATTCTGTTCATGTATGCTTAGTGCTCAGGTTGGTTGTTGTCACTGTAGGTTATCCACTCACAACCTGGAAAAAAAATTAGATCTTGATCTTGACCCTGAAGGAACCAATAATTAAAAATCTAAAGAGAAAAACACAATACTTTTATTTTGGCAGGGGGGAAGGAACTATACAGACATAAGATTTTGTCAGCATCTCTTTTCCAATTAGATTCTTAGCTGCTTAGGGGTCACTGAGGGATTAAGTCACTCGCTCGTGGTGATAATATGGCTAGTAGAGTGCACAGGTGAGAGTCAAACCCAAGAGGTCCTGACTTTAAGTCCTATCCCAAACTGCCTTTCAGATAACTCAGACTCATAGTGCTAACGAACAGATAGGTTGCAGGGGAATTTATAGACACATATAATTAAATGTGTGGATAACTTGAGTTACATATGAGTAATCTGTGTTCCAGGTAGTGCTATGAGTGGAAGCTGATATGTACCTCTTACTCCCAGGAAGCTATTCTTTGTGCTTTAAGGGGAGAAGAGCAGGGGACAGGTTTTGGCAGAAGGAAACACAAAAAGTGCCAAAACTGTGAATCTGTTTAAAGACTTGAAGGTCAAGAGGAGAGCAACATCCACACGTGTGGGTTAGGGAGACCTGTGTTAAGAAGCAACAAAGGGTGAGGTTTTTGAGGCAGCTCTGCACCTCATCATAGCAAGTAGTATTAAAGTAATTGGAGGTATCTGGAGATACGGTACATTTAATTTCCCACTGACTCAGGCGTCCATTTTAATTTCTTATAAAACTGTTAATAGAAATATTTGACGCCAAGTTTATAGAGATCTGGTAGAGTCCTATTAAAGTGAATTTCTCTGATTACTCTTCCCTGGAGTGGTCTCTGTCAGATTATGACAGGCTTTCATTTCTGGGAAATCCTCTTTAGAATAAAAAATAAATAAAAGAATGGAATAGAAGTCTAAACTGTGCTTTGAAAAAGATTCCTACCTTCACAAGATAGATGACTCAAAGCCGGAATTGTAGGCTTAACAAGTATCAGATACAGATGTTTATTTCATTTTACGTAACAGAGGTACAAGTTGCATTTAAATTACATTCCATTTTTTCACCCACTTGCTTTCTCAGTTAATTTGCTTCATCTCCATTTACCATTGATTGTTGGTAACAGCTAATACTTTTAAGTTTTTCTTACGTGGGAAAGATTCTCTTGTGTTTTACAAGTTCCAGTACTTAGGATTTAAATATTTTGGCTGACTCGAGTAATACATTTCAGATTCTTATTTTCCCCCTCCTTCCTTCATTTCCCAGCGAACAACTTGAGGGAAGATTACAAATTTCACCATACTTTCAACAGTGAAGTTGCAAAATTCCTGAAAGTCTCTTCTGGAAAGTTGGTTGTAATGCAGCCAGAAAAATTTCATTCTAAGTATGAACAAAAAATCAAAGTTTTAGACATTAAGGTGAGTGATATTTCCCAGGCATCTGAATGAGACTGAAAATTCATTCATTGTTAAGTAAAACACTGATTGTTGAGCAGTTCACTTCAATGGTCTGGCTTTTTTTCTGTTTAAAAAAGTGAAACTTCCTTCCCTGGCATGTCATCAGAGCCACATTTACTAGTCTGTGTTCCAGGAGTAAAGGCCAAAACTCCAAAACTGTCCTTGGTTTCAGATTTGCTTCAGCTTATAAAACACAAACATTGCCTATCAATTTGTTTTTTATCGTTTACTGGAAGACTAGGCATTAGGTTATTGATCTGAATTGTGTGCATGTCAGTGGCTGGCTCTGGTGGAATGCCAGAATCCCAGAGGGCAGCTCAGCCACCCTAGGGCAGCTGGCAAGACTGCAGCTAAGCCAGCCAAAATTAATAATTATTTTTTCCTGCCCTTGACACTATAGGGGAAAGTGTTGCCTTTCGTTACCCATTCTACTGTGACATTTCTTTTTAGTCCTAAACTAAGACTCGTGTACCAGCTGGACTTTGATAATGATAACTCATATTTTTGTGGTGCTGTACTTTCCAAACTACTTCCCTCATGTAGGTAGTTCTCTGTACACATCAGTGTGGATAATCCTTCCACTTGTGTCACTCATAATCCTACCATCTCCTAATAAATAAAGTCTGGGGGACTCCTTCACTGTGCCAATCTTGGGATGAATGTCTCCACTTTGAGAGAGGCCGGTCTTCATCCAGCATATTCACAGGTCACTAAAGGACCTGCCCGAACCAAGGTCATCTCCTTGCTGTAGCTAGGCATCAGAGTGGGACTTGAGTGGAGGTGGAATGGCACAATGCCAAATATAGTCATTGTGTTTTGTATGCTAAAAGGCCTTTCTGTTTGTCATCTAGCAAGTTAAGGTAAGTGAATTGTCTTCTAATTAAACTTTTTCTCACAATTGATGTATTTATTTTTGAATGAAACAAAAGTTGTAGACCTCTTATAAATCTAGATTAGCCTTGTGGCCTTGAGAATAGAGAACTGGACTTGGTATGAATCCTCCTATGTATACTTATTAGCTGTGTAATCATGATTACTTCTGGTAAAATTATGGGAGGACATGGGCAAGGGCTTTAGTAGGATGGTGAGGTTATGATCTGCTTTGTTGAAGGGCACTTCTGAATAAGATCAGGGCTTCATCTGAGTACCTACCTCAAAGGCTGAAATGAGATAATATATACATAAAAAACCCTTTTGTTGTTCAGTCATTTTTGGTTGTGTCCAATTCTTCATGACCCCATTTGGGATTTTCTTGGCAAAAATATTGGAGTGGTTTACCATTTCCTTCTCCAGCTCATTTTACAACTGAGGAAACTGAGGCAAACAGGGTGAAGTGACTTGTCCAGGGTCACATAGCTAGTAAGTGTCTGAGGCCGGATTGGAGCTCAGGTCTTCCTGACTCTGGGCATGTGTTGCTCTATCCACTGTACCACCTACCTGCCCCCATAAAAAACCTTAAGCTCTGTGTAAATGTCAGTTCTTATTATCTTATTCATCCCAGTTTTCGATGGGGCTCAAATAGAAACTGTCCTGGGACAAGTCACTTTCCTGTTATTCTCTAGATTCAGTAATCTACACATACTGCATAGGTGGATAAAATTGTTGCTTTTGATAGTTGAATAAGCATATTAAGATATAAATGCATTCTTAAAGGCTTATTTAAAAGCATCTGTATTAAAACTCTAATGTCAGATATGGCAACGAGGTTAGTAGGTTCCCAGTCCGGTTCCTGTGTTTTTCCTGTCTTTGACCAGGTGTCTTTACTTAGATCTGTGAGCATTTGGGGTCATGACATCTATTAAAAACATTGTTTTTAAGTTTTTCTGATTCGTTGGGTCATTGTGGACTATATTTCTGCCATAATGGTCCAGTTCCAATATGATTTATTGATTCAGTTCTCCAGGATATTTTGAGATCTGTATTTGTCATCTTTCAGTGATGAAAGATAGCTTTCCATAAATATATATAATTTTAGCTACCAGGTAATGCCTTACTAAGTATTTGGTAGGTACTAAATTTTTATAGCCTGAATTAGTAGATAATCTTCATTGAGCATTAAGACCAGACTTTTTCAGGATAAGCTTTCTATAGTATTTGGCAGGAGTGACCTGGGGCTGAATTCCAATGAAAAATTTCCCCCTTTCTACAAACATCTCCTTTGACTTGTCCATTTTCTTCTTTAAAAATATATTGGCGACCAACTTCTTTAGTAGTGTCACCATCCATTCCATTCTTGATCTTACTGTTAGATTTGACAAGTCCAATAGCACACACCTCTTAGCAGCCTTAACAATTGCTCCATGAAGTGATGTCTGCTTATTCCAGAAGTATTTCTGTAAATTTTTTTTACCTGCTTATCATCTTCTCTAAGAATGTCTGTCTTCCTCATTTTTGGCATGGAAGTGTTAATATTTCTTTAGCTGCCTTAGGGTGATAGAGTGATATGCTATATGTTTTATTAATATTATACAAGATTTTGCCAAGATGTCATCTAAGTATTTAATTTTACAGTTTTTATGTTTTGGAGTTCCCCAGATGTGGTAGAAGCAAAATAATATCTTAACCCTTCTCTCTCAAGCAAGTTGGGCTATTTTTCCTTAAAAGGTATTTAGACAGTCCTTTGTTCTTGATTGGCTCATTAAGTTCAGGCTATTGACATCACTTCCTGGTTGCTGAATACAAAGCAGCCATGAGGAGCTCCAGGGGCTCTTGGATGCTTGGCTGATGGATAGATCTTGATGGACAACTCAGGCAAAGGCAGCTTTGCTCAACTAAATTAAGTCACATTATCTTCACTGCCTATTCTTGTTGAAGATCTTTTTCCTGCTATGGCTTAGTAAATCTGTTTCTGTTAACTGTTCCAATAGCAAACCTAAATTAACAGGGACTAGACTGAGTTTAGTCTAGCCCCCCCCCCAAAGATGATGTACACATTAAAATTGGTATTGTGTAGGTGTTAATTGGTTTAAGCTTATTCGACTTGGATTGCAAAGTGCTACTAAGATGGTGGTGGTGGTGGTGGTGGTGGTGTTTTTTAATGTATCCAATCACTGCCTTCTTGATTTTTTTGCCCAGAGAAGACCAAGGTGTTTCTAGATAGCACCTTAAGTCTCTTATCTTTCTTTAGTGTGAGTTAAGAATTTAACACTTGTTAAGTCAAAATGACATTTTGTTTTCATTGGGAAAAAATTCCACAGGTTGAAGAAGCTATTTTCTTTTTTTTAGTGGGACCTGATAACTTGATATCATCCATATACAGTTGTTAGGAAGGTATTTTGGTTCATTTTCTTTAATTCAGGGGTCATACTTGGCTCCATTTAGGAGAGAGATAATGTATTTAAGGGTATGCAGATCTATAATGGACTTAAATGGTCTCCCTGAAAAAAATGCCACTTTAAAAAATGAATTATTTTTTAACATTGTTGTGGGCATGTGTTAAATAGATAACATTTTTTTCATGTGGGCATCAAATCCTTTATCATTCCCCATTACACTTGGGTCTTTTTTATATATTTATAGTGCATGAAAAAATCATGAGTAAGGAACTGAGCTAAAGGCTTTGCCTTATCAAAGGCAGCAAGTGTGTTATGGCATTTTCTGGGCAGCTGGTTCAGTAATTACAGAATTAGAAAGCTGTTCTTTAAACCCTTTGGACTTCTTGGTATACTCAGGGGTCTGCTGGAGCCAACTTGAAACTGCTCAGGACAGCCCATTGTTAAATTTTCAGTGTGAACAATTTATACCTAAGAAATCAACAACTGCTACAAATCCCTGCTTGATTTATTGTTTTCTTAGTTGTCTAGGCTTAAGAAAGTGTTAGTGTAGATTAAACTTTTTTTTCCCCCAAGAGAATCTGGTTCTTGAATATTTTTTAGGACATCCCCATATTGCTCTATAAACATTGCTTGAGCTCAGGAGTACAGTACAAGGGTCAGGGTATGAAGTCATCAGCAGATAGGCGGCCTGCTGAATGGAGGCTAAATAGCGATGATAACTGGCATTTCCATAACACTTTGAGGTTTGCAAGGCGCTTCATATACATTATCTCATTTGAGCCGTGCAACACTGCTGGTCACAATCCTATTGCTCCTTAGCCAGTACCTTTTTGTATCTATAGAATTCTTTTTTCATGATAGAAGTTGTGAATACTTTGTATAAAATGCACAAACACATAATTGGCCTACCTATAAGAGGTTGTAAGTTTTCTAGTCCTTTGGTAACAGATGCAGTACCTTTCTTAAGAAAAGTGCAATTGAGGGGCAGCTAGGTGGCGCAGTGGATACAGCATCGGCCATGGATTCAGGAGGACTTTAGTTCAAATCCGGCCTCAGACACAATAGTTACTAGCTCTGTGACCCGGGGCGAGTCACTTAACCCCATTGCCTAGGCCAAAAAAAAAAAAAAGTGGAATTGGTCTATATGCCTAGTACAATACCTTGCTAATAATTCATGTACCACTATCAAGCATTTAAGCTAATTCTTATGGGTCTTATCTGGCCACTTTGTAGTTCTTCAGAGAAGCTAGCAAGGCTTTTTGATCACCTCCCCGATGTAACTTTTTTCATTGATTATGTTAACGGTGTTCAAGGTTTCTGTTTCTTGTTTGACCCAACTGCATAGATGACCAGAAATGTTCCACACTCTACTTCAGGGATTCCCTCTTGCCCCTGATTTCTTTACTTCTCAAACTTCTCTAGTAAGGTTTTTGATTAATGTTAAATAGCTGATTTTGCTCTTTGTGCTGCTTTGACTTGACTTTCGTTTTCAGTTTTGCTGATTAAAGGAATCAAAGATTTCTTATTACACTTTTGTTTTCTGGATTTTCTTCTGCATGTTTATTTTTTGTTGCCTTTTATTGGACAATATGGCATTCAAATTTTCTGCTCTATGTGCTAGCTAGATAATTGATGCAATGAATTGTAGCTTTCATAATATTGCTATAATCAACCAATGTGCCTTTCCTCAGATCTTCTGTAGCTTTCTTTAAGTTGCTTCTGTCATGGTGGTTTGGTTGCCTGTCTTTGAGAGTATTTGTTGATAGTTCCACATTTCCTCCTATGGTTCTTACTCTGGCAGTAGCTGACCCATATACTGCTGTGTGCAGGACCGATAGGTTTTTGTACTGTATGTCAGATAATTGTGGAAGAATATATCTATTCATGGTGGTCATAGGTCTTTTGACATATTCTCTTGGTATAATTGGTCTACTCAAAAAGGGCTTTTTGTAATTCCAGTAAAAGTATGCCCAGCTACTTTTCAAAATAATTTTAAACTTCCATGACATTTTTGTCAACTGTTTTTCTTCTTTGGTATAATTTCTGGAATTTGTATTAATTGAATTTGTATTAAGTGAAGTATTTGTATTAAGTGAAGACTTTCAATGAACTTGGGGTCTTCAGCTTTTTCCTATTTAAAGTTTAGTAGTTCCTCTATTCAATATCTTATTTTGGATGCAAATGAATAATTATGATAGATGTCTAGTGTTATTACTAATAAAAATAATGACTTGTATCTACCCATCTAAGGGATTTTAGCCCATTCCCATAGAGTAACATCAAAATTTTAGAGCTGAAAGAGACTTTCTTTAGCCATCCTGTTTTAAAAGATAAGTTTCCTTTGCACAATCCCTTTTGTGGCTTTTCCTCTTTCAGTAAGGGCAGATGGGATCCAACTTGTTGAATCTTATTTTAACCTAATAATAGTGCTGTTGTGAGCATGGTCACTATGCTCTCTACATTGGGTAATTTTTCTGGCAGTAAAGTCTTTTGGAGTGAGCAACTTTCTATCATATCACCCCTCTCTCTGTCCTTTGTTGGCTGAGGACTCTGCTAGAGTGATGAAATCTGAGTCTTCTTTTCAAACGTAGCTCCCCTTTTCTGTTGTACTGTACTTCATATCAGTCATCTGTGTTTGAAACAGGAATCCACTGAAGGAGCTGCCATCAGGGATCACGTGGTAAAGCATGCTGTGCCATTAGTTGGTCATAGAACAACTTCCAATGATGCCAAGAGATATGCTAAACGTCCTCTGGTGGTTGTCTATTACACTGTGGACTTCAGTTTTGACTATAGAGTTGGTAAGTGAGGATATTTGTCCTGCAGCGGGTAACCCATTTAATTACTTCAAATCTTTCTTCAGAGGTCTTTGAAGGTTAATGACTTCTATGGGAGTGGGAGTGACTGAAGCCATGACTCAACTTTTGCGCCTTATATATGTTTTCTGTTGTGACATTCCACACCTTCAGTATCACTCCTTATTATGCCATTTCCATTCTGCATAACAGTTTGTTTTATTCTCCTCAGAAATCATCCAGCATAGACTAGGATTGGAATCATGTTGCCAGAAAACACCATAGGAATTTTTTGCAAATGAGGAAACTTCCCCTCTTTGAAGTGACTTGTCCAAGTGCAGGGGTATTGAGCTAGAGCTAGTGGCAGAAAGCGTGGACTAGAAGCCAGGTCCCCTGGCATCTAGCTCAGTCCTCCAGTATGGCTTTTTTAAAAATTTATTTTATTAATTTATTTTGATTTATCAACAATCACTTCATAGGCTTTTGAGTTTAAAATTTTTCTCCCGCTTCCTCCCCACCACCCTCCCCAAGACAGCGCACAGTCTGATGTAGGCTATACATTTACATCTCTATTAAGTATATTTTCACATTGTGAAGTTGTAAATAAAAATTAAAACCAATAGGAAGAACCATCAGAAAGAGGAAACAAAACTCAACAGAAGAGAAAAAAAAAAAGATAGTGATTCAACTTTCACAGTTATGATTACTACCTGTGTCTTTCTCTCCATCCTTTTTTCCCCCATTTATGTTTTTCTTTCTCCTTTCACCCCCTCACTAGTGTTTTGCTTTTGACCACCGCCTCCTTCAGTTTCTCCTCCCTTCTATTATTCCTTTCCCTTTTCTTTCCCCTTTTCCCTCCTATTGCCTATAGGGTAAGTTAGATTTCTATACCTAACTGATTATGTTATTCCCTTCTTGAGCCAAATCTGATGAGAGTAAGGTTCAAACAATGCTCACCCCTCTCTCTTCTTTCCCTTTGCTGTAATAGGATTTTCTGTTTTTTTCCTGTAATGTAATTTACCCTTGTCTGCCTCCTCCTTTCTCAGTACATTTTCTAAGTTCAGACTAATCCACTTACTTGGATCCACCACATGATTAGATTTTTTTTTTATCATTACATCAAAGTCAACTAATATCCACCTCCTTTATGTGTACTCCTTTAACATGGTGTAATAATAATACAGTTCTCGAGCTGTAAGTGTCATCTTCTCTTGTAGGGATGTAAACAGTCCACCCTTATTAACAATATTTTGTATCTTTCTGTCCCATTTACCTTTTTATGTCTTTCTTGAATCTTGTACTGGAAGATCAAATTTTTTGTTGAGTTCTGGTCTTTTTATCAGGAAGATTTGGAAGTCCCCTCTTTTGTTGAATATCCACCTCCTCCCTTGAAAAATCAGGCTCATTTTTGCAGGGTAGTTGATCCTTGGCTGCAATCCAAGCTCCTTTGCCTTACGGAATATCATGTTCCACGCCCTGCGGTCTTTAATGTAGAAGCTGCAAGGTCCTGTGTAATCCTGACTGGTTCCATGATATTTAAATTGTTTCTTTCTGGCTGCTTGCAGCACCTTCTCTTAAATCTGGTAATTTTGGAATTTTGCTATTATATTCCTTGGTGTTGTTAATTTGGGATCTCTTTCAAGTGGTGAGCGGTGGATTCTTTCTATGGTTATTTTCCCTTCTGGCTTGAGGACTTCAGGGCAGTTTTCCTTTATGATTTCCTGAAAGATGCTGTCCAGGCTCTTTTTTTCATCATGATTTTCAGGTAATCCAATGATTTTTTAAATTGTCGCTCCTGGATTGATTTTCCAGGTCTGTTGTTTTACCAGTGAGGTGTTTTATATTTTCGTCTATTTTTTCATTTTTTTTGTTTCTGTTTGATTGATTCTTGCTCTCTCAAAGGGTCATTAGTTTCCATTTGTCCAATCCTAGTTTTTAACAGATTGTTTTCTTCTGTTAGTTTTTGTACTTCCTTCTTCAATTGGCCAATTGTATTTTTAAGGGATTTGTTTTCTTCAGTGCACTTTTTTTCCAGTTTGCCAATTGTGTTTTTTAGGGACTTGTTTTCTTCAGTGTACTTTTTTTCCAGTTGGCCAGTTGTATTTTTTAAGGACTCTTCTACCTCTCTCATTAGACTTTTAAAATCCTTCCTGAGCTCTTCTAAGAAGGCTTTTTGGGCTTCAGACCAGTTCATATTCCCTTTTGATGTTGCAGATATGGGTTTGTTGACACTGTTGTCCTCTTCAGAATTTCTGTCTTGATCTTCACTCTTCTCATAATGTGAATCTATGGTATGTTTCTTTTTACTCATGGTTTCTTTATTCCCTGGCCTTTAAAGAGATTGAGCTCTCCTGCTGGGGAACAGAGGGCACTGACCCAAGCATCTTGTGTTGGGAGCCTAAGTCTTGGTCACCGGCTTTGTGTCCTGGGGCCTCTTATGTTGGCAATTGGAGGCTGTAGGGTTTTGGCAGCTTACCTCGTGTTGGGCTGGAATCAGCAAGGCTGGAACTTTCAGGCAATGCTAGGTTGCCTGCTTTTCCTTTCCTTTAGCTTTCTTCAGCTCCTTTTAGATGGGTGCTACAGGTTGTTTATCTGCCTGGGGCCCTTGCAGTGCTGCCTCCCTTGTCTCTGCTAATGCACTGGGAGATTCCTTTGTGGTAGGGCGCCGAGGCACCTGGTAGTTTTCTGAGCTGGTTTCCACCGGTTCCCCCACCCTCACTGAGGCACTCGGAGGTCCAGGTGTTGGTGTTTGCCTGCTCTACCACCTGGGCTTCAGGATCTCCTTCTGGTTGACAGTTGGAGGCTGTAGGGTTCTGACAGCTTACCTGGTGTTGGGTTGGAATCAGCAAGGCTGGGACTTTAGGAAGACTCTAGGTTGCTTTCTTCAGCTCCTTTCAGATGAATGCTGCAGGGTGCTTATCCGCCTGGGGCCCTTTATAGTGCTGCTTCCCTTATTTTTGCTGAGGCACTGGGAGACCTGTTTGCTGGGCTGCTGCACTGCTGTTCCCCGTCTTTCTTCTAGTTCAGCTGTTCCAGGGATTTTTTTTCTGGGGTAATATTTTCTGGGTTCTCAGAGGTTGATCTTCCAGTATTGTTTTAGTACATACATGGTTCTCACCAGACTTACTTGGCATGTGAATTTATTTACCTCTGCTGAAAAGTTTGGGTTTTTAAAATTATGAACTTAAAATCATCTACAAATGAAAAATATTCTAATAGGTAAAGAATCAGAGGATTATATATAAAATGATGAGTTTTGTTATGCAGTTTGTTTTTTTAAAGGCATATATTAAATTTCACAATTGCCTTTTGTGTCCCCTTCTGATTTTTTTCTTCTATGTGTTTTTAATTCTTTTTTAGGGTCTCTTTTATTTTCAAAAGTGTGGTTAAGCTTTTTTTGTCTTGACATTGTGTAGAAAACTCAGAATTTGTGCCTCATTGGTATATATTCTAAGCAGAACCTTAAACATTTCATAAAGCTTGAACTAGAAACATTCAGTGCAAGCTCTTTCATTAATTGCCATGTATTCTGATTGGTTTCAGCTACTCAGTATTGGAGGAACAAGGTCTTGGAAGTTGCTAAGGACTTCCCTGAATATACCTTTGCCATTGCTGATGAGGATGACTACTCTTCTGAAGTGAAGGACTTGGGACTTAGCGACAGTGGTGAAGAGATCAACGTAGCTATCCTAGCTGAGGGTGGCAAGAAGTATGCCATGGAACCAGAGGAATTTGATTCCGATACTCTCAGAGACTTTGTGTTGGCCTTCAAAAAAGGTGAATTAATAGGGATGACAAAATTATATGTCAGGACGGCCTTCATAGGTGAAATCTTGGAGGCCATTGAAGTCTTTACAGGCCAGGTCACCATTAATTCTTGATCTGTTCTGCATGAAGTAGAATTACACAGAGGTCTTTGGTGCTTATTATTTTCAGCATACTGTTAGTCCTACCCTCTCCTTTTTGAGAAAGCTCTAATATAAACTTAAGCCTGTTCGACCTACACCTTACTCCCTTTTTTCCTCCTATGGTCAGAGAACTGAGGCAGCACCTTCATTTACTTGGAAAGGAAAAGAAAGGAGGTGAGCATGATCCTAGGTTCCCCTGAGTATAGAGAACAAAACTAAAGCAGAAAAAAGCAGCAACAATTAGAACAAAACCATCTGTATAGCCTCCAGCAAGTGCCTGGCACATAATACAGTAGGGCTTAATAAATGTTTATTGAATTATGTGGTAGGTTCCTAAGCTTTCCCTCAAGGAATACCATAATGAAGGACTGATTATAGTCTCCATTATATTCTTCCCTTTGGTAATGCATATGCATTAATTTCTTCTTAATCTTGCTTTAAAATGTAAGATTCATTATCCATTTTACAGTTATAATTATTCATGCATAGAATGACTATTCAGGCAATCTCAGCTATCCAATAAATAGTCCAAAAGGAAATAAGCCAAAAAGTCCCCAGAGCACACCAGGCCAACACTAAGAGCAGAATAAAACAAACAAAAAAACACCTGTGTGCTTAATTTTTTTTAAAATAATTTTTAATTTTTGTTACTCTGGACCTAGCAAACATGAATATACAAAGAATAGATACAAAAGGATTATATATGAAACCATGAAATTCTGTTATATACAACTTGTTTTCATGCACTTTACTTGGAAAGCCCCTTAACCTCTCACTTAGTCTTTTTACTCTTATTTAAGCTTGTTTAGATGGTATATGATTTGTTGTTGTCTATGGGGGCCAGATTGAGTACAGAGGCAGGAATATCTTTTCTGCTGTCAGCTGGCACTTGTCAGTGACAAATTAAAAGAAGCAGAAAATAGCAGTAATTCTCTGAGAAGACTAGGTGTGATATTTTTTAAAAGACTTGAGTTTATTAGATCTATCCAAAAAATTTTAGAATAAAACACATTTTGTTGTTTATACGTGCCTTGAAAACTCACTTAAGGTGGCACATCCCCACCTGCACTGCCCCAGTCCCTAATAGAACTGGATAAATGAAGTGTCACATAGCATTTTATCTCTTTGATATCAGGTCAAGAAGCACTGTTCTTGCCAAATAGGTCCATCTCCAAATATCTCCATGTTATCTTCAGTGCTTTCATGTTAGCCATGCCCCTTTCTAATAACCAAGTTGCCAGACCTGGTCCATATGTGGACCTGCTGCTTCTAATCAGGATGTTAGAGTAAATCTGATAATTTACCTTTAAGGAGTTAATGAGATACCTTTCTAAGGGATATTTTCGTTTTAAAGAGGAAGGGGTGGCTGGTTAAGGCGTGGTGGTCCCTTAACTTACAGAATCAACTATCAAGGATAGAAACCGCTCAGCAGTCCTGGCACAGGAGTTTAGGGTGGGCTTATGGGAGCTCAGGGTTGGAAGGAACATCAGAAGCAAACATACTGCACAGTTTTGGATGGCCTCTAAATAAGCCTAGTCATGCTTGCCAGGTTGAGAAGCTCCTCCATTTGGGGCCATCGCAGTGGGACCTGTAGAATACTGATCGCTTCTCTCTTTTTCCCTGTAGGAAAACTAAAGGCATCATCAAATCCCAGCCTGCGCCCAAAAACAACAAAGGGCCAGTAACAATTGTGGTGGGTAAGACATTTGACTCTATAGTGATGGACCCCAAGTCAGATGTCCTCATTGAGTTCTATGCCCCATGGTGTGGACACTGTAAGCAGCTAGAACCTGTGTACACCGATTTGGGGAAGAAGTACAAGCATCGGAAAAACCTGGTCATAGCAAAGATGGATGCCACCGCCAATGATGTGACCAACGACCACTACAAGGTGGAAGGATTTCCTACCATCTACTTTGCTTCTCGCACTGACAAAAATAACCCTATTAAATTTGAAAATGAGAAGAGAGATTTGGAGCACTTGAGTGCATTTATAGAAGAGCATAGCACAAAACTGAGCAGGACCAAAGAAGAGCTTTAAAGGCGAAGAGGAGGAGGGGAGAGGCCATGGATATACACTGTAGTTTTCCAATGAAAGGTTGTTGAATGGGGAACCAAATGAGCCTTGTGGGCAGAAGGGGGTTTGGGTGTTAAAGCAGTTGCAGTATCTGATTTTTTTTTTTATTTCACATTGTGTTACAGACATGGAACTGACATAAATGCCTCATAATAGTATGGTTCAGATATTTAAGGAAAATACATCTATTTTTGCCATTATTTGGGCTTGATTATTTTCATTTTTTAACCTTCTACTCTTTTTAATACTTCAACAACCCCTCAAGCAGATAAGTCTCTATATGTGGATGTTTTTTTTTTTAATTTAAATTTTAAAATAGAAAAAAAAACCTTTGCCAAATCACTTTGGTATTTTGACTTTTTATTTTTAATCATCGTCTGAAGTGTTGCAGTTTATGGTGAACTTAATTGTTGTATTTTTTATTTTTGTTGCTTTATTTCAACGAAGCTTGACCATATAAAAATTTGTTAGGAGCAGAGGCTGCAGGTCAGAACCATCACAACTGATACCCAGTCATCCAAGGATGACAGTATTTGCCAGTTCCTTTTCTGCCTAAGACATCTTAAGGATGGGTGTACAGTGAGGACCATGAGTAGATGTGACTTCTGTGGTATCTGGGTGTTTATAATTGTTGGCTGTGTTTGGAGGAACAGTAATTGTAGCATCTGTGATCCCAGAGATGCCTTTGTAAGACTGCAGGAGAGGCATCTTGGAGACAGTCTAGTCCAAAGCCTTCATTTTATGACTGAGGAAACTAATGGCCCAAAGCAAAGCTAAATGACCTGTCCAAAGTCACACCAGATAGTAAATAGTAGTAGAGCCAAGATTTAAAACCTGGGTTCAAATCCAGTATTCATTGCACCACAACGTTTTTCTTCCAGGTCTCTCCTCTCCTTAATGCTTCCCTTCTACCCCCTCAAAAAAAAAAAAAAGACAGCACTTTATATGATACATCATCTATCAACGCCAGGATGCATTCCAAAAACAAAATGTGCAGTTGGAAACTTTATTAACAGAGGTAAAAAATATATATAGTCTATAGTGATAGAGATGTGTGCTAAGACATATCATATGCAATAGGAGCTGGGGCTGTGCTATGAAAATATCAGCTGTGCTGGAAAACAGACTTCTGCCTCTGAGAGGCTTGAGAAAGTTGTTGGGGAAGAACTTCTGAGTGAAGTGGAAAAACACTAAATTAGGAGACCTGCCATTATCTGGGAGACTTGGTAAGACACTTAACCTAAATAAGGGAGTTTACCTAAGGTCCCTGCCAGTCCAAAATTCAATGAAGGAAGGTGGAGGTAGCATAATAACCTTCATGGTGTAGATTTCTGCTAAGAAAACTCCAAGTACTGAGGGAAAGCTCCTTCCAACTCTAAGTCTGTGAGATACAGGTGCTCTTTTGTTTCAGAAAAGAAATACAGGTTCCTCACTCCCCCTGCAGCTAGAGAGTCCTTCTGTAGGGAGCAGAGGGCCTTCTGAGCATTGTAGTTTCAAATCCGTTTCCCCATATTGCCTTCCTCAAAAGTATAAATGACTTATTTTCCTGTTTTGAAAGGAAGGAGAGGGTGAAGAAATAGGGTAATTGGACACCTAATATGAACATCTGAATCCACCATGTGAGGGCCTGCTCTGTGTAAGGAAAGGGCACTAAAAAGGGGATCTTGAAACAGACTGCAACCTTGTCTGTGGCTGACCTTATTTACCTTCCACACCAGAAGTAGAATGTAAGGTCCTTGAGGACCCGGAATGTATCATTGGAGCCTGGCATCAAAAATGGTCTACTTATTAGTTGATTGTTAGAAATTTTGCCTTGGAAGCCTTTCTGACCTGCTAACCCAAACACATTAATTATATGATTTTTGAAAGTTTTGGAAGTTTTTTCTTTTCTTTTTTAAAAACTTGAATGTCCTTATGACACCTTTCCAGAACCATCATCATTAATTCAACAATGAATATTAAGTATATGTGTGGGTGGGACAGGGGTTGGGGGAGGAGAAGGGGGTGTCATGTGCTTTGCTAGGCACTGGGTATTATTCACTGGACTTTGTAGAAGTCAATCAGAGGGCACTCCAGCTCTAACTGAACTTGGAAGGTGAAGGGGAGCCCGTGTTTTTTCTTCAGGCAGTAGCAGCTGTTGTAGAAGGGACTGCTGCCACTCTATGGCCCCAGCAAGGAAAGCCAGCAACCAAGGATGATCCTGAGTCTGAAATGAGCCGTGTGACTATGGGTAAGTTTGGAGTTAGGGAGAGGAGGAGAGAGTACCCCACCAACCTCTCAGGGTGGGTTTGTTAAGGCCTTAAAGTAAGCCTTAAAACTTTCAGTAATTCAAAGATTCATGATTTTACTCTTAAGGATACTCCTCCCTGGATGGAAGGCCACTGTTTCTTAGCAGGTGTTCTTCATGAATTCCTGTGGCCCCATAGGTGATTTCTAGTTATGAGCTAGACTTGTGGTTTCCCAAGGATGGAAAGGTTCTCTCCATCCTGCCCCTCACTCTGATATGGGATGTTGTCTCCAACACAGCCACATCTCTCCTGTTCCATCTCCCGTAGCTGTTCAAGCTCCTACTTATTCCCTTACTGAGGTTTTTCAGGATGTACTTAACCAGACTACCCCCAGCAGTACCTGTGCAGGTGCCATTGGGAAAAATCCTTTCCTGCCTCCCACAGAAACAAGAAAAAAATACTACCGATGGGGGAATATGGTCAAAAAAATTTAGAAACCATTGGTGCTGAGAACTCCCTGTGAGGGAACCTTTGACCAGTGTAGTTCTTGTGACTTGTCTCAGGCACTGAGGTTAGGGTCACAGCTAGTATAAGACAAGACTTGATCCCAGGTCTTCCTGACTCCAAAGCCAGGACTCTATCCACTAGGCCATGCTGCTGTTTTTTATTGTAATGAGAGTATATACAATCTCATTTCTTAGACTACTGGAAAGGGCATCTAAGGCCAAGTTTAAATTCGGGTCTTTCTGACTCCAGGCCCAGTAATCTCTACTGTGGTGTCATGTAGAAGCTCAGTAAACAACTGTGTGCAAGAGTGGTTGGAAGGGGAGGTGGGGAGTGAAGCTTGCATTGCCTTTACTCTCAGCTTGGTTTTGCTTAGGAATGCTCAACATTTGTAACTTCATACCATTTTCCCTGGGCCTTTTGTCTCTTCATAGTTACTATAAAATGCGGCCCTGTTGGGGAAAATAATGCACAATCTTTATTTTTGAATATTTTGTCTTCATAAAGTAGAGTGATAAACTATGATCATTAATCCCCATTGAACAGAAGAAGAAACTGGCATAGTTTCAAACTCAGTTTGGTGGCAGCCATTTTTTGAGTCCCATCACTTGTGTGATTTCAGTTAGTATATTCTGGTGATTCAGTTGCCCAAATACCCAGAGCCAGCTGGAGCACGTTTGGTGGGTACATGTATCCCCAGGAGTGGGAAGTACTACAAAATCCATTCTGTAAATCATCAACAAATCTCCAGGCCACCTATCTCACCGCATACATACATTCATATGTACATACATACATACATACATACATAAATACACACATACATGCATACCATGGTTCTGCTCTGTACCTCTGTACAAGTTCCAGGATATGTGATTTTGATTTAGGGAGTGTATTTTATGATCTCGGGGGTTCTATCCTTGGGCTTCTAGTACCCAACCTTATAGCACTACCTACTGGCCCCTTTTCCTTTGGCATGAATCAGTTTTCCAAACCTACTAAGGTTAGATTGACCAGGCACAGATCACTTTCTCTGGCATCACTCCAGATTTTAATAGGTCACTGAACCTAGCCCACATCTACCTAAGTTGGGTCAGAACTGGACTTTGAGGATGGGTGAAGAGGCTGCTATGTCTCCCAGCAAAACTGTTTGTTCAATGTAGACTATTTTGTTTGAAGAGTATCTTAAAATAGGATCCTGTTTCAGGGTAGCACCTATTGCTTTGTGCATAACACCCTTAACCTGACTCCTTCGAAAAGACCGTATCTGACTGCCTTTTCCCTTCCACTTGCCCCTTTCAAGGCATCTGTAATGTAAATTCTCAGAGCACTGCCTAGATTACTAACATATTCTAAGATAAGGGTGTGGAGGGGAAGAAGGAAACAACATGCATCTGTAATGCACATTCTCAGAGCTGCCTAGAGGTTAAGTGATAAAGGAGTGTATAATCTAAGATGGTAGGGGAAAGAGAAACACCATATGCATACAAGATACATACAGTATTAATGGAAGGTAATCTCAGAAGGAAGGGGGTGGGGTGGGGACAGTGGGCTTCCTTCAGATAGTGGGATTTGAGCTGGGCCTCAAAGGAAGCCATGGAAGCTGAGGCCGAGGTGAGGAGAGGGCATTCTGGGTGTTCTAGGGAGCCGGCCAAGTGCAAAGCTGCAGTCTAGACATGAATATCTTGTATAAGGAACACCATCGTAGCTGAATTGTAGAGAGTATAGAGTGGAAGCCCAGGAAGGTAAGCACCAGGCAGTAAAGGGAAGTCCAACAATCTTCCCAGTGTAGTTACTTGGTCATTCGTTTGCTGCTGCATCATCATCATCATCATCATCATCATCATCTTCAGCGAGTTAGTTAATAGACCAAACAGAGGGCTTACAGAGTCAGAAATGGGATATGGGGGCAGCCCAGTAGAGTTCTTACAGTGAAGGAAGGGGAGAGAGCAGATGGGGAAGTGAGCCCTCAGGCCCCATGTAGTAGAATTTTGTTTCGCACTGCCTCCTAAACACTTAACACATAATATGTTTTGTAGTCAACTGGGTTTGTCTCATTTCTGTGGCACCCCCCTCTCCTAGACTGGAAGCTTCTTGAGTTCAGGGATTTTATTTTCTAAAAACGTTGTGCCTCTCCCAGCAACCAGCACAACACACTTCATGCCAATATAGTAAACATCTGTTTTTAAAAGTGGGGGAGGAGACAGGGCACCCTGATTTTGTTGGAGGGTGGGAAGTCAGCAATTCTTGTGCCCTCCACTCTCCAAATGAGGCAAGACCAGGTGGTGGAGATCATTCAGCATCCTTCCATAGCTTGTCACTCCAAACAGCTGCTTTTCTCGCACTTTCTTTTTCTGGCTATCATTTTACATTGGTGCTACACTCCCAATGTAAAAATAAACCTGGTTCCCTCATGTACACATCTAACTTTGTAACCTTGTAAGCTTAGGTTACAGAGGCACCATTAGGAGGGAGATGAGGGCCATCTGTTAAGTACCCACAGAAGCCCCTCACACCAAGGCGACAGTGGGATAAGAGAGGAGGCAGCAAATGGGCAGAGAAAGTGATGGCTGAGTCAGCTGGTCAGCCAAAATCAGGACCAAAGACAGCAAAGACCCATGATGAGAACTCCCTTTCTCCCCTCTGACATAAAGTATACTTCAGTGTTTTTTTCTAACTCAAAAACACCTGTTGAATAGGTTCTGTCTCATATCCCCCAAATGCTTCTTTCTCCATTCATCAACCACAGTAGTTGCTAGGCAGTGGATTGCAGCTTAGTATAAGGAAGAGCTTTTTTTTACAAAAACAAACAGCTGCCTAAAAATGGAATAAGTTATCTTGGGAAATCCTAAATTTCCCATCACTGGAGGTCTTTGGGTATAGCCAAGATGACCACTAGTCAGGCGCATTATAGAATAGTGGTATCAAACTCAAAAAAGAAACAAGGGCCATTATACTGTATCTAAAGGTCCCTGTAGGCTGCATGTTGACTTAGTTTCAAAATGTAATATCTATGATTTACTGCATTTTTACTCAGTCTGTTAAATATTTCCCAATGGGTAGCACTGATGGATATTGTGGGCCATGCAGGCTATGTGATTGATGCCTCTGTTGTAGAGGACATTCCAAATCACTTAGGAGTCAGGCTGAATGGCCTCTGAGGTCCCTTGGTTCTCAGAGATTCTGTAAGTCTGCTAATAAAACAGCTGGCTATACCTCTCTCCTGTTTTCAGAGATAATGGGTCTAAGTGCAAAGAGCCCTCAGCAGGGAATCAGGAGATTCCCAAGGGTTCCTGGGCCTCTCCTGTCATGTTCTGTGACCCTTAGCTAATCACAGCCTCTCCGGACCTCAGTTTCTCAGCTATTAAAAGTAAGAATTGGACCAGATGATATCCAAGACCTGTAAGATTGCATGATATCCTCTCTGTCCCTCCTCTGTTTCTCTGTCTCTCTCTGTTGTCTCTGTCTCTGCCTCTCTCTTAGCACTGTGGTGCGATATCACTGTTTTTGTTAATCTATTGCTGTTTTTCTCTTGTATGTCTTTAGCAGAGATTTGTAGATGGAGGTTCTGCCCAGAGTAGTTTTCTATCCTCTGATATTGTAGTTAGGAGCACATCCCTGAGAAGGGGTTCTCTTTATCCTTTGCCTGTTTGCTAAGTCCAGCATGATGCTTTCCCTGCTGGCACTTCTTTGTTCTGCGGGTGCTGGCTCTTGAGCCTTCTAATTCCTCATATTTAAACCTGATCATCATTACAAAGTACCAAGACGTACTAGAGCGAGCTACGTGGAGTCAAAAATGGCTCCCTCTGTTCTGCCTGGCCCCAGGTGTTCACTATGAGAGTCTTGATTGTGGGGTGGAAAAGAAGCAGTGATAGGGAGGGAAATATTATCTTTAGGAACCTACGATTAAAAAAAACCCCAATTACATAAAGAGTTCAGGTTACCTCCTGGGGGTTATTATACCTTTCAAGACTCTCCACGTTCAGTATGTCCCCAGGGAGAGCCCTAATGAACTATGTGTCTGCAAGTGCCCACAGCTCAAGTGTTTAATCAACAATTCTACAATTACTAGTCTTGTTTTCAGCCCTTAGGAT